AACTCTGGAAATTCCTTTGTAATTTGCTTTACTATATAAACAATAAACCATTCATCCTCAATGTTATCTCCAAACTTTGTCATGCCAAATATATGAGCAGGAACACCTCCTAAAAACAAGAGAAAAGCAATCATATAACCAAATAAATATACCAGTGCAAATAAAAGTACAAGTAATCATTCAATTAAACAAACATTTATTGACTGGCTATGCTCCAGGTACTATACTGGGAGCTGGGGTTGCAATCCTGGACAAGATACAAGAAGCTTATTCTTGAGGAGCTTAGGGTCTAGACAACAGGAGATAGACAACCAAGCATCACAAAACAAGATGATGAACAGAGGTATACACTGAGGGCTATGTGAGCATAAAGTATGTGATATCTGAGCTATACTCCTCTGGAGGAATGACCAGAAGTAGGCCTTCCAGAAAGAGAGAACATGTGCATGTGCAAAAACACAGAGGCATGACAGACAATAGCGTGGTTCTGGGAATATCAGCAGAAATTTTCAAACAAGTACATTATCCAAAAATATGTAGAACTTAAACAAGACACTCAGACAGCCAATGGGTCAAAGAAGAAATCACAAGAGAAATTAGACAATATCTTGAGACAAATGAAAACAAAAACACAACATGCCACAAAGATGCGATGCAGTGAAAGCAGTGCTAAGAGGAAGTTTATAGTTATAAAAGATGTCAAGTCAACAACCTAGCTTTATACCTTAAGAAACTAGAAAAAGAAGAAAAAACTAAACTCAAAGCTAAAGGAAGGGAATAATGAAGATCAGAGCAGAGATAAATGAAATAGAGAATAGAAAAACAATATTTAAAAAATCAATTAAACTGAGTTGGTTTGTTTAAAAGATCAACAAAATTGACAAAACATTAGTTAGATTAACTAAGAAAAAAGAGAAAAGACTCAAATAACTAAAGTCAGAAATGAAAGGGGGGATATTACAACCTATGCCACAGAAATAAAGAGGACTGTAAGAGAACACTATGAACAACTGTACATCAGCAAACTGGATAACTTAGAAGAAATGCATAAATTCCTGGAAACACACAAATTATCAAGACTGGATTGTGCAGAAATAGAAAATCTGAACAGATCTATAACTAGTAAGGAAATTGAATTAGTAATCAGAAACTTCTGCACAAAGAAAAGCCCAGGACTAGATGACTTCACTGGAGAATTCTACCAAACATTTAAAGAAGAATTAACATCAATCCTCCTCAAACTCTTACCAAAAAACTGAAGAGGAGGAAACATTCCTAAACTCATTTTATGAGGCCAGCACTACCCTAATACTAAAGTCAGACAAAGACAATACAAGAAAACTACAGACCAATACCCCTGATGAATAATGGTGCAGAAATCCTCAACAAAACACTAGCAAACTGAATTCAACAACACATTGAAAGGATTGTACACCATGACCCAGTGGCATTTATTCCTGGAATGTAAGGATGATTTGACACAAGAAAACCAAACAATGTAATATACCATATTAACAGAATGAAGGTCAAACAAGTGTAGTGCGGAGTGTCTCAAGAGCTACCATGGCAAAAAGAATCCCCAAACAGTTGGGAAGAACTGCCCAACCAACTCTTCTCCCTACTCCAGATTTCCCAAGTTTCATCAAGTATAGAAGTTCCAGTTAGGGTGTCTATTTTTATCTACCTTACATATTAAACTTCAATTTGAATTTCATCCAGAAGCAATGAGGAACTGCTGAAGGATGTTAGGCAGGAGAGTGACATGATCAAATTTGTGTTTTACAAAGGTAACTGGCAACAGGGTCAGGAACTGCAGACACTGGAACCAGAGAGGTTAGTTAGGTGGCTACTGTAGTCTTCCAGATGAAGAGATCAAGGGGGCCTAGACTGTAGCCAAACAGATGTAGAAAGGGGTCATATTTTAGGAGTAATCACACTAGGATTTAGTGCCTGACTGAACATGGTGAAGTGAGGAGTTGAGGATGATTCTGAATCACTAACAAGCTTGATAACTAGGTGGCTAGCAATCCCATTAAGCAAGACAAGAAAACACTGTGTAAAAATGATTTTCTAGAAAAAAGGTAGGGAATTGGTTTTGGCTGTGCTAATGGGACAGTGTTCTTGCCAATAAATATCACGTGTTTCAGTGAATAGGTGTTTAATAAATTAACGTTTTGCATTTGGCAACTGCTAGCCAAAAGGAAACAGATAAGCACTAAATTGAGAGCCAGAATGATGGTATCACAAGATGCCACGCTCCTGATCTGAAATAAGACCCCACAGAAGTCACTGCATGAGTAGAGCCTTGGTCACCTATCCATGATTCATTTTAGTAAAGTTATAAGAAATGACAGGACAAAGTACCATATTTGGCCAGAGGTCAGATCTCAAGCACTGAATACAGGGAAGCAGTGAAGGAACCTCAAAATGCTTCCGAGTGGCAAATAATGGTCATTTAGCTCAATTATTTCTCTTTATAAGCCAAGCAGAGCCACTCTTAGATCCTTACCAAAACAACTATGTGAAAGGCAGCCTAGTAAACATACTATCAAGACTGAGGAATACAGAGTAACAGCTAAAAGAACTATGGTTAAGGAAGCCAGATGCCTGAACCTGTTTAGTATAGGTACCTAGATACATTATGGCATAGTAATTAAAGTTCAAAAGAAGAGCCATGGCTTAATAATGTTGAATATATATTAGTTCCTAAGATAATGAGTATTAGAAAGCATCCATCAACATGAATTAAAAAAAATTTTTTTTAAGTTCAAGGGCTTAACTGAATAGAGGCAAACACCATAAAAAGCTCAGGATATAAATCTCCTGACAGGGTTCCCCTGGTGGCGCAGTGGTTAAGAATCCGCCTGCCAATGCAGGGGACACGGGTTCAATTCCTGGTCTGGGAAGATCCCACATGCCATGGAGCAACTAAGCCTGTGCACCACAACTACTGAGCTTGCACTCTAGAGCCCACAAGCCACAACTACTGAGCCCGCATGCCACAGCTACTGAAGCCCACGCACCTAGAGCCCGTGCTCTGCAATGAGAAGCCACCGCAATGAGAAGCCCGCACACCTCAATGAACAGTAGCCCCCGCTCGCTGCAACTAGAGAAAGCCCACACGCAGCAACAAAGACCCAACACAGCCAAAAATAAATAAATTAATTTAAAAAAATCTCCTAACACTGAATGAACTATGGACTATTATACATCACTGTTGTCAGAATGACATTAAAAGTCACACATATCAAAGCAAAATAAGCAAAAGAGCCTTACCTTTCCCAGGTTTATATTTGAGATTGAAAGGCTGATTCTGCCAGATATAGGGGACCAGCATAGGTGCAAACTGGGTCATTATCTTCTCAATGTACTTTTGAAGAATCTCTCTGTGTTCTTCTGGGTCCCATGGTTCATCCGGTATCAGGAACAGGTGGTATTCTACAGTGTCTTCCACTGTAGCAAACTTCATATTTTCCTCCATTCTTCTTTGAAAGCTACATTTAAAGTTTCAATAATATAAACCATATAGAATAATGTAGAAGTAATATCCCATTCCCTGAACTATGCTAGGAAATTCCGTTAACATTTTTTCCCAAAATTCAGTTATCCACATACCATCATCATGATTTTTGCCTTGACCACATACCAACTATAATGACATTTATTTAACATACTTTTAATGACATTGTTATACTTACGATTACATGAAAGGAACTTTTGATATAATACAATAAATGGAAATCCAATACCACATTCCCAAATTAACAAGTATGTAAGAATAAAATAAAAACTGTTTGCCCTTGCACTAGCAGTGGTGTGTATAACACACTTTTAGAAACACTGAAATAACATCTTTTGAAACACTATCACAAGTCCCAGTTCTGCCAGTAGTCCCAGTTGTGTTATTCTGGGCATTTCACTTTCTTCCTGGGGCTTTTTCCTTAATTGTAGAATAAGACTGTTACTGTATCATCTCTATAATCCGTACCTCGTTTAAATTTTTATTATTTAAAATTTCTGAAAAGCAATCTCCCTTACTCTGCAGAATTAAATCTCTCCCGTTGTATGGCATAGAGGAATTCAAAACTACAAAACATTCATGCCCTATCATTTCACCCCCAAATAATCTGCCCATGGCTCTTGATCCTACAACTATCTATCCTAAATTTTCCCCCTTCTCAGGTCTCAAAGGGTATAGCTCTGGTATATTAGGAGGTGGTAAATAACTATTTTCTAAAGGTTCCCCTTACAAACAAAAGTACTAGCTCACTATTGCTTCCAGGTGAGGCTTGGTAAAGGAAGACACTGTTTTGGATTATCCACTTTACGGCTGCAATTCAATTTTTAGACTTGTTTTTCTAACGGAGTAGTAAAACGAAGTCGAGAGGAACTTGCATCTTCTATCCAGACACTCATTCGCTACTTTCTGTCCAAATCATCATTTGGCCTTTTAACCCTGGTAGACAGATGCTAACTACCCACCCGAGGACTATAAGGGGCTTTGAGATCACTCAGGCTAACTCCACACTGTACATATGAGAAAACACTAGAAGGGGCTTTGAGATCACTCAGGCTAATTCCACACTGTACATATGAGAAAACCGGGAGCACAGCAAGAGAAGCAACCAAGCAGCAGAGGCCTGACTTGGGAGTCTAGAGCTTTTTACTCAGACTAGGCGCTCTCCTTCATCCAACAAAATGAAGCCAATTCCGCTTACGGTTCTAGGGCCTGGGCCTCTCCGGCAAGTCTCTGCTGTGGCACCTTTCCTCAGCCGCCTCTCCTATCACGTGAGCTGGTCGGGAGCTGCCAGTAGCAGCCAAAGCCTGGCTCAGACTGGGTCCACACGCTCGTCTGGGACCAGAAGACAGCAGAAACTCTGAAAGTCAGAAACCGGCTCAGCCTCGGAACCCCGGGCGTCGTCCCTGTTGCGCGTCGGCGAGAGCATTAGGTGGGTGCCCGTGTGCCTTCGCCACTTCCGGCTCCACGGGGAAGCAAGGAGGGCGGAAGACTAGGGAGGTGGGGATCCTGTGGGAGTGACGGCCCGCAGTCTAAGAGACGGGGCTTGACGGGGCCGGAAGGTGGCGGGAGGGAGCCGAACAGGAGCCGGCGGGAGGGCCAGGCCAGAGGCCCCCAACCTGGCTTGCCCGCCCCGGCCGCGGCTGAGGAGGAAGAGGAGGATGATCTCCAGATACACTCGGAAGGCGGTGCCACAGAACTTGGAGCTGTGAGTGGACTGCTCAGCCACCCCAGCCCGGCCCAGGCCGAGGCGGGCCGCAGGCGCTTTGCGGACCCTCCCTGACCAGTCCCTTGCTCCTTTTTCCTTTCCCAGGGCGAGGGAAAGAAAATTTTCTTCGAAATTCTCTCCTCCCAGCCTTGCCGGACGTTGCCCCTTCTACCTCCATCTCCAGCTAAGGGCGTGTTACCTGTGCTGTCCCAGAACTTGGCCCTCTTGGGTTGCACTTCTTGAGCTCGGGGACTGGGTTTCCTAAGGCATTTTGTAGTTTCCGCAGTGCTTCGTGCCCCAGTGTCAATGACCATTGACAATTCGTGAAGCTATTAATAGCTGAGTGCTACAATGAAGTTGAATACGTCTAGTGCCAAGCACAGTGCAAAGCTGCTTACATGCATGCATTAGCTCCATCGTGTCAATAAGGAGACCAGATAGGAACTATTATTTTGCCCTTTCTACAGATAAAGATCCCAGACTTAAAGATTGTAGCATGCCAAAGATCACACAGCCAGAGGGTGGTGGTGGAGCTTAAGTACGAACCTGTTGTCAATCTGTTTTTGAAGCTTGTGGTCATAACCATTACACATACTGCCTCTGCACCTCTGCAATTTAGTGTCAGAATCCTTAAGGATCAGTTTTGCTTTTGAGACTTTAGACAGCAAATATTTCCCGCTTAAAGACCCACCTCCCACCCCTAGTGAAGTGTTATAATGTAGGAAGTAATGATACTGTCATTCATTTATTAATGCTTTACACTTTCAAAAAGATTTTCACATTTTGATTCTCTTAACAACTCTGTAAGATGGGTATGATTATCTTTAGTTTTTCAGCAGATGAAATATCAGAAAGGTACACATCTTAAGATTATATAACCAATAGGTTTTGAGCTTGGGTTTTTCAACCCCAAATACCAATATTTTTCCTCCACTAAACTATGTAATTTTAGCAACCATACATTTATTAATTAAATATTAACTATACAGGGCAATTAACAGGCATGATATCTTCAGTCACATCTGGGTTTCTGTTTAGACTCTTTTGTAGCCTTGTTAATTTTAGGCAAATTACTAAATCTTTGAGCCTTCATTTCTGTAATATAGGAATAAGACCTTATCTAAAAGCATATCTAAAGTGATGGCATAGGGCTTGACACATAGTAGGTCCTCGGTAAATGGTAATTTCCTTGTCCCTTCCCACCTTTGCTTGGTACAATAACCATACAAACAAAATCAGTCTATGATCTTTCCTTGCCTTTCAGAAGCTTATTATCTACTAAATAATAGGATAGGACACAGAAGCAGTTCAGTTAATAGGCTTTTTTAGCAAATAGGAAGAAGAAAGTCATTTACCAATAAAGGGAACAGGGCTTAGGCAAAAATCTGCTTTTATAATTAATTCTGACCGTTCTGAGAGTGAAAAAAAATATCATTTATGGAAAAAATTGTTGATAGCACTTATTGGGCCAGAATTATTGACCCAGTATGGTTATGTTACTTGTTCTCTATTGTTGATTTGATACTCCCTAAAGATAATTCTCCCAAAAGATGATTCTCTAGAAGTGTCAGAATAACATGAATAATGATGATAATAAGATTATATGCATCTAAATGACAGTATATATATATATATATATATATATATATTTTTTTTTTTTTCTTCTCAATACACGGGCCTCTCCTGTTGCGGAGCACAGGCTCCGGACGCGCAGGCTCAGTGGCCATGGCTCACGGGCCCAGCCGCTTCGCGGCATGTGGGATCTTCCCTGACCAGGGCACGAACCCGTGTCCCCTGCATCGGCAGGCGGACTCTCAACTACTGCGCCACCAGGGAAGCCCTAACTAACAGTATATTAAAAGTAATTTTTACTTTAGGTGTTATAATGATAATTTGCTTTGAAGAAGTAATTTTAGTTTTCTCCCTAATAGTTCCAAATTATAGATATTGAAAAGAGGTTGGGATAAAATATACAGCTTAACATTTTAAAAATGGTAAATCTCAAGCATAAATGTATAGTGAATAATATAATGACCTACCCATCACCTACATTAAACAGTTATCTAAATTTTAATATATTTGCTTCATCTTTCATCTATATATTTTTTTCAGCCTGTCTGTCATCTGTGAAATAAGGAAGGAAAACCCCAGACACTATCATTTCACCCCATATACTTCATTATGCATTTCTAAAAATTATACACATTTTCTTATGTAACCACAAAGCTATGATCAAATTTAATATTTCTTTGGTATTATCTAATTGTCACTTCATAACCAAATTTCTCTGACAGACTAAAATATGTTTTAAGTTTCTATTTCATAGCTGGGATCCACATTTCTGATCCCCGCCACTGTCTCAAAGACAAGCTTTTGGTTGTAAAATCATTGAATGAGAGAAGTACAAATAGCTCTACACAAATCCAGCCCCACCATTTGAGAAATAATTTAAAGTACAAGCTCTGCTGACTAGGTCTTTATCTTTATATACAAAAATGGTACAATTTACTAAAATCTCAAACTATTCATTTGCTCTGAGAAGCCTCAAACAAACTACTTGGATTTGAATCCTGGCTCCATTACTTACTAGCCATATGACCTTAAGCAGGTTACTTAATCCCTCTGTGCCTCACTTTCCTTTCCTGTGAAACAAGAATATTAGATTTATAATATACATTTGCATATTAAAAGCCCTGGGAAGACCTCTTGTAAAGAAACCTGTGTAACTTTGTTTAACCTATCATGTTATTTGACTACAGAATTTTGTGGGGAAGAAAAGTCTATTGTGGATGATTAGGACTGGAACATATAATAATTGACCCCATCCCATAGTTTATTCTAATGCACATGTTGAACTCTCTAGAACAGTACTGTCCTATAGAAATATAATACAAAACACATATATAATTTAAAATTTTCAGGTAGTCACATTAAAAAAATAGTAGAAACAGGTGAAATTAACTTTTTTACCTTTTTATTTTGAAATAATTATGGACTCACAGGAAGTTACAAAAATAGTACAAAGTCCCGTGAACCCTTCACCCAGATTCCCCCAACGATGACAATTTACGTAACTATAATATAATTTCAAAGCCAGGAAACTGACATTGGTACAGTACTGTTAACTAGACTATAAACCTTATTCAGTTTTCATCAGTTTTTATATCCACTCCTTTGTATATATGTATATATAGTTCTATGCAATTTGGTCTCATTTATTGATATATGTAACTACCAATACAATAGAGATACAGAGCTGTTCCATCACCACCAGGAAACATCCTTATATATGCCTTTACAGTCACATCCATTCCTTTCTTCACACCCTGGAACCACTAATCTTTTCTCCACCTCTATAGTTTTGTCATTTGTGAATGTAATATAAATGGAATCATATAGTATATGTAACCTTTTGAGATTGGCTTTTTTCACTAAGTATGATGCCCTTGAAATCCATCCAAGTTGTTGCATGTATCAGTTCACTCCTTTTTTATGCTAAATCATATTCCATTGTGTAGATATACCAAAGTTTAACTATTCAGCTGTCAAAGAACATTTCAGTTGTTCCAACCTTTTTCAATTATAAATAAAGCTGCTGTGAACGTTTGTGTACAGATTTTTGTGTGAACATAAATTTTCATTTCTCTGGGATCAATGCCCAAGAGTGCAATGGCTAGGTCTCATGATAAACACATGTGTTTAGTTTTATAAGAAACTGAAATTATTCCAGAGTGGCTGCACCATTTTACATTCCTACCAGCAATGTATGAGAAATCCAGTTTCTCCATATCCTTATCTGCGTTTAGTGTTATCACCATATTTTATCTTAGCTGTTCTAATAGGTGTGTGGTTATACCTTATTATATTTTCAATTTGCAGTGAAATTAATTTTAAGAATATATTTTGTTTAACCCAAATATATCCAGAATATTATCATTTTAACATGTAATCAAGATAAAATAATTAATGATACATTGTACATTCTTGTACTAAGACTTCGAAATCCTATGTGTTTTACACTTAAAGTGCATCTCATTTCCAACTGACATTTTAACTGCTAGTGATTAATGGCTACTGTATTGTACAGTGCAGTTCCAGAACAGCAAGAAGTAGGTGACGAACTTGTAGATCAAGTTACTGAAAAGTATATATTTTTTCTTTACAAGAAATATAACTTTGTTTTTCTCTTTCACAGGAAAGGAATAACAAAACATTCTCTTAATCATCATCCCCTTCCAGAGCAGCTGGATGCAATTTCCTCTACCAATGACAGCCATGAAAACGACATAAGTTCCCAAAGGTAATAACAAAAAGTGCTTGTTGCACTTGATAATGGCAAAAGTTTTGTTTTTTTGCCTTGTACTAATGAAAGAAAACAAGAATTTTTTTATCACATTTTTCAATACCATTCAACTTTCATTCTGGAACAGCTAATGGAAACACACTTATTTTGTCATCTATTAGCTGAATAATAGTGGGCAAGTTACTTACCTGGTAATAGTATCTCTTAAAGGGTGTTCTGAATATAAATGAGATAAAATACAGTAAATGCTGAGTAAATATTAGCTGCAGTTATTATTTTAAGAAATAGAGGATACGGTAACTTCACAGAGGGTTCTGAGAAGCAATGTGGTATCATAGAAAAATTACAGTCATAAAACCTAGTTTCAACACCTAGTACTAAATCTCAGATTCTTTGTCTTAAAAAAGGGGTTGAGTTCTGCACCACCAGGTTGTTGTGAGGATAAAATGGGGTTAATATCTGTGAAAGTGCTTGGTAAACTAAAAGTGCCATACAAGTTCACATACTATTCTATGTGAATTCCTAGACGTTTCTGAAATGTCTTTAGTTCTCAAGGGTAGATATTATAAGTGGAATGTTAAAGTATTCATTGTAAACTAAGACTAGAATTATTTAGAATGGCTGCCATCAATTCTGTAGGAATTAGATCCGACTTTACTATGATGCTTACATTTCAAGTCCTTCATTTATTTTTGCCTCTGTGGATATATTTCTACACATGCTTATCACCTAATAGATTGCTGAGTAGTTAATGTTGCAGAAACTTAAGGAAATATAAGAATTTTTCTGTTTTCTCTTCTCCTTCCAAATTGTGCATTTAGTGAGTCTGACATCACACAAGAATCACCTTTTACATCAGCTGACACTGGGAATTCAAGGTCTGCTTTTCCAAGTTATACAGGCACAGGGATCTCTACTGAAGGCAGCTCGGACTTCTCCTGGGGATATGGTGTGAGTTTTATGTTATTGGTCTGATGGATTGCTTGGGAGACTGTTCTGGGAGTTAGCATTTGTCAGTTTGGTCAGTATATTTCATGCCTTCCCTCTCCTACACTGTTTATTTTTAACTTTATTTTATTGTATTTGGCCGTGCCGCACGGCGTGCGGGACCTTAGTTCCCCAACCAGGGATCGAACCTGTGCCCCCTGCAGTGGAAGCACGAAGTCTTAACCACTGGACCACCAGGGAAGTCCCTCCTACATTGTTTATTTACTCTTTAAAATAGCTGTAAAGAAGCATCAGCTTCACCCTCTTTCAGTATTGCTCTGTCTGATGGATGTAGTAGTTGATCCTTAGAGATGCTTAGTGTTTGGCTTAAACACTTGCACGTTGGTATGGATCTGAGCTCTGGATCTACTCCTTCTGCTGTGCTCAGTCCACTAGTGTGTCTCTCCACTACTAATATTACCTTGTTGTTTAAAATGTTTTTGAAAGTTTATTACTAAGCCATATAGACTGGGAAAATGTTTATGATATATTACTAAATGAAAAAAAGCACGTTAAAAATAAATGTATAGGGCTTCCCTGGTGGCGCAGTGGTTGAGAGTCCGCCTGCCGAGGCAGGGGACACGGGTTCGTGCCCCGGTCTGGGAAGATCCCACATGCCGCGGAGCGGCTAGGCCCGTGAGCCATGGCCGCTGAGCCTGCGCGTCCGGAGCCTGTGCTCCGCAACGGGATAGGCCACAACAGTAAGAGGCCTGCTTACCACAAAAAATAAATAAATAAATGTATAGTGTAGTTCTAATTTTATTTTACAGATATTTTTGCTTATATATACTAGAAAAAAAGACTAAAAATATTTACCTAAAATGTTACTCCTTTATTAATTGGGTGTTGAGATAATGAGATTTATTTATTTATTCATTCATGACTATCTGCCATTATAAGTATTATTTTTAAAAGACCAACAACCTTAAAAGAAAATTAAAAAAAATTTTATGCATGTTTCTCACCTTGATGCAATAGGTATTTTTATTTCTGTATCCTCTTTCAATCTATATTTAATTTGGCCTAGCTATAGTCATGGTGTACATACAATACTATGCTCTCTGTTTTTTCACTTACTGTTATTTTGTAAGCACTCTTCCACAATACTGACTTTATACAATATTATTGTTAGCAACCTGCTTTCTTTACAAAAAGCCTGCTAATTGTTACAACCTTTTTGTCACCATGAGTTATTTTCTAGTCATTTTAAGTTGGATGTATATATAGTTGCCTTACATAGTTGTATGATATATGTGCATCCTGATCTGCTTCTTCATTCACCATTATTTCATATAGACATTTTCTTTTACTACTTCCATACTTGTCAATTTGAATAGTTATATATAGTTATATAGCATTTCCTTGTTTTAATATATTATATCATAATTTAGTAATTTCATTATTATCTGATACTTGGGTTTTCAGTTTTTATTTATTCAACAAATATTTATTGAGCGCATTTGTTGTCAGACACTGTATTTGGGAATATGGGGTGAATGAGACTTACATGATTCAATAGTCTAATGAGGGAGATTGACAAAAGCAAATGAACAAAATAACTACAAAAGGTCATAAGTACTCTAAGGAAGACAACAGGGAGCTGAGATAGAACACTATAAGGGGGATTCACTTTAGGTAGGGTATCATGTAGGGTAGATCTGAGACTTGAAGACTGAAGAGTTAACCACGTGAAGAATGAGGAAAAGAGCTTCCAGCAGGTAACCAGCAGCATCTGCAAAGGCCCTAAGGAGGAAGAGATCTTCATGTTTCCAAGGGAAAGTGTTTGGTATGTTCTTGGAACTGGAAAAAGGTCAGGGTGGTTGAAGGATGGTGTACCAGGGGAGAAAGCACTAATGAGACTGGAGAGGTAGGCAGCACTAGATCTTGTAAGGCGTTGTAGGCCATGGTAAAGAATTTAAATTTTATCCTTATGTAATGATTTAATTAATTTGATGACTTATTTTGAGCTTTTAGTGTACTGACTATATATTTCAATCAGTTATCTCTATATTTTAATTAGTATCTCTTTATAAGTTATGAATGTCATACAAATGTTTCCCATTTCCCTGCTTTCCTTTTGGTATTTATTGTGTAACAGATTTTTTTTTTTTTTTTTCTTTGCGGTACGTGGGCCTCTCACTGCTGTGGCCTCTCCCGTTGTGGAGCACAGGCTCCGGATGCGCAGGCTCAGCGGCCATGGCTCACGGGCCCAGCCGCTCCGCGGCACGCGGGATCTTCCCGGACCGGGGCACGAACCCGTGTCCCCTGCATCGGCAGGCGGACTCCCAACCAATGCGCCACCAGGGGAGCCCATGTAACAGATTTTTTTAAAAAAAATTCAAATATAACCATTTTACTTTTGACCTTAATTTCTTTGCTAGTCAGGATTTTATCTTTAGAAAGATGGAATATTATAATATTCTTCTTCATAGCTTTTTAATAGAATTTTGCATGTTTAACTTTTTAACTCACCAGACTTTTAAAATAGTATATGGTGTGAGGATAATTAAGTTCTTTTACTGTTGAACCTACTTTGTTTGAACAATTTTTCTACATTTGACTTAATATCTTAGGGTTTTCATGATATTTTAAAAATCTTGGAAAATCTATTAGTGTTCATTAAAAAACATGTATTATTTAGTATTTGTGTCCTCTTTGCTCTTTCAGATAAATTTTATTTTCCCTTGTATGAAATTTTATAAAATATTCATGAGGGATTTAATTGATATTGCATTACAACATTATATTAAATTAGGTGCAGGGAGAACTAAAATTTATTGAATATTTAATAGATGCTAGGCTCTGTACTAATCGCTTTATAAACACATTTCAGTCATTTTGTACCTTAACTGAACTTAGTATTCTACCTAGAAATATAGTTTACTTAGATCTTCCTTTAATTTAATCCACTTTATCATTTCATTATTTATTTTGAGTAAATCTCTTGTAAGATACAACTGATATTAAAATTGAACTTAGTATTTAATTATACATTTTCCTTGCTTTTGAACTTAGGTGTTTTTGAGTTATCACTGGTATATAGGAATACAGTTTTCCCCCCAGTTTAACTAATGGCCTACTACTTTGCCAAATATATTTATAATCATGCTGGCGTTTATATTCTTAGGTTTATTTCTTTTAAAATATTGTTTTAAAATTAAACAAAGTTGGGGACTTCCCTGGTGGTCCAGTGGTTGAGACTTCGCCTTCCAATGTAGGGGGTGTGGGTTCGATCCCTGGTCGGGGAACTAGGATCCCACATGCCTCAGGGCCAAAAAACCAAAAAATAAAACAGAGGCAGTGTTGTAAGAAGTTCAATAAAGACTTTAAAAATGGTCAACATTAAAAAAAAAAAAGTCTTAAAAAAAATTAACAAAGTTATTATAATGATGTGAAGGAAGACTTTCCTTTTTTATTCTAATTATATCTATTATTTAAAGTTTTATAGTCAACAATCATAAAAATATCTAACCCAGTTCTATTCTATTTTAGTTTTATGTACTTCGGATTGATTTTTTTTTTAAATAATCAAATAAGGTTTATTCTAGGAATACAAAGATGGGTCAATATCTGTAAATGTATTAATATGTTTAACATCAGTGAATTAAAGGAAAAAATATGATCAAGCCAATAGATGTTAAAAAGATACTTGATAAAATTCAAAAACCATTCCTTATAAAAATTCTCAATTAGATAGGGAAGGAAACCCTTGAAACTTGATAATGACTATTTGTCAGTTGAATATCAGTTTAAATGGCAAAACACTAAAGCTGTTTCAGTTACAGCAAGGAACCAGACAGGGATTCTCTATTTACAAATTTAATTGATTCCTTTGCTAACTTTGTACATTTTAATTTTTACATAAAGCTTGTCATTATACACTCTATCCAGGGCTATTTGTTTTTCCACTTAACACTATCAATATATTTTGAAGAATATATTACATTATAGTATAGTATATTATGTATATTATAGTATATTCAAATATATATATTATTAAAAAACTAACTGCTTTGTTCTTTGATGGCTGCATAGCCATTGCTATTACAAAAAAGTGCTGCATTTATGACCTTGTACATATATTATTTTACATATATATGAACATATCTGAGCATAAGTTTCTAGAGGTGGAATGCTGCTCAAAAGATACATGCTTTTGTAATTTTGAAAGTTGTTACCAAATTGACCTCTGTAAAAGTTATTACAATCTGCAGTCTCACCAGGAACATATGAAAGGGCCTATTTTCTTACACTCTTGACCAAAACAGTGAATTATCAAACTTTTTCATCTTTGCCAGAGTTTTAATTTTTTTCATTTAAAGGTATCTGATGCAATGGGGTTGATTAGAAAAGAAAAGTTGCACACCTTACAGAAAACTGCATAACTTACATATTGGGTGTGCATGTGTGTGTGTGTGTGTGTGTGTGAAAACAGTACACAGATCAAGATATAGACAATCAGCATCCCACAAGGCTCCTAGATGCCCTCTTCCAACCCCAAAGATAACCACTATTCTGACCTCTATCACCAGGTTTACTTGTTCTTGCCCTTCATATAAATGGAATCCTACAGTATGTATTTTTTATATCTGGCTTCTTTTGCCTAGAATTGTTTGAAAAGTTCATACATGATGTTGCACATATTTGTAGTCTGTGAATTGCCTATTAATATTTTCATACTCATTTATTATTTTATTTATCATTTTCATATTAATTAGTAGGAGTTCTTTGTCTTTATTTTTAAATTTATTTTAACTTATTTTTTATTTATTTATATTTTGGCTGTGTTGGGTCTTCGTTGCTGTGCGCGGGCTTTCTCTAGTTGCAGTGAGTGGGGGCTACTCGTTGTTGTGGTGTGCGGGCTTCTCATTGCAGTGGCTTCTCTTGTGGAGCACGGTCTCTAGGCGTGCAGCCTTCAGTAGTTGTGGCATGAGGGCTCAGTAGTTGTGGCACAAGGGCTCAGT